TGTCTCCATTGCTGCACACTTTGTCCTCTCCCAGTAGGATGAAGTTGGGCCGTGTCCAGGCCAGCAAGCACCTGAGTCTCAGGTCTCCACATAGCCCTTCTCTCCCTGGACCTGCTCAGCTCATGGTGTGGCTTACAAGGCAGTCTTGGGAGCTTGGTCTCCCTGAGGAGCCTTCCCTGGGGGCTGCAAAGCAGGAAGCCCAGGGGGACAGGGCAGCACCTCCCTCAAAGGTGCTGAGAGGTACTCTCTCTTTTCTCTCTTTGGGCTGATCAAAGCCTGCTCCCAGAGGCCCTGCCTCTCCCTCTGAACCCTCACTCCTTCTCAGTCCCTTACTGACAAATTGCACAAAGATAGACCAGATAGATAGATAGATAGATAGATAGATAGATAGAAAGAAAGAAAGAATACTTGCCAATCTCAGGCATAAATTCTAGGATGATGAAGACACCTAGAGCAATTAATTAATTGATTGTTTTCTAGCCCCTGCTCTTCCGTAGCAACCCTGGTGCATCCTGGCCCTGACACTCCCCCATAATCAGGCCCTTTACTGGCTTCAGTCTGTCCCAAGCATGTTTCTGCCAGTCTGGCCTCCAGACAGGGTGTTCTGAAATCCTTAAACCCCTGAGGATCTCTGGCCTCCAGTATCTAAGCTTTCATCTCTAACAGTAAGGGAATGGCTTCGTATTGATCCCATTTTCTCTTTCAAACAACTTTACGGAGAAGGTGTAATCATCATTATCTCCATTTTTCAGGCGAGGTAATAAAGCTCAGAAAGGTTGGGCTGCCCAAGGCCACGTAGACAGTAAATGCCAGGACCCAAGCCCAGATGTTTAGTTTATTTAGAAATAGTGTCCCATCTCTCACGCAGGCTGGAATTCAAGGTCACGATCACAGCTCAATTGTAACCTGAAACCCCTGGGTTCAAGTGATCCTCCCACCTCAGCCTCTCAGGTACCTGGTTCTGCAGATGTGCACCACCGTGCCCGACTTCAAGCCCAGCTCTTAGGATTCAAGGCCTGATCCTCATTCTGCTATATACCACACAATATACTTCTGTTCTAAAGTTAGAATTAAGCTCCTGGGCTTCTTTCATCTGGACTATTCTAGACTTATCTATCAGCCCTCGTCCATTTGGGTATCAGTGCTGGGCTCTGCTAAAAGGACGTAAGTCTTAGATGCCAGAGTCTGGGAACTTCAGTCCTATCCAATTCCCTTGAAAGCCTCCAACCCTTTTGGCCTAAGAGTGAAGCTCATTCTCCCCTCAATGCCTGAGTCAATCCTCTAATATTCTTATTTGAGGAAAGGAACATCTTCAAGACATTGTGTGTTTGTGTGTGTGTGTGTGTGTGTGTGTGTGTGTGTGTGTGTGTGTGTGTCTGTCCTATTCTTACCCAAACTGGAACACAAGAAAAAAATAAGTAGCTGGCTCAGGAGGTCTGCTCCACCATCTGAGCCTCAGTGTATGGCATCCCTCCTCACGTTAGTAAGCGGGTCTTCACTATTCCCTGGTCACAGACACCTCCACCACCTCCCCCAACATTATCTGGGGTGACTGCCTGGCTTTGCTGCCTGAGATAATGCTTAGACCTCCCCATGCTCTCTGTGGCCACCCTCTCTTTATCTGCAGAAAGACAAAACCAGGGAGTGTCTGGGAGAGAGGAGAGAGGTGAGCCTTAAGTAGGTTTCTGATTTCCAACTCTTCTTTTCACTGGGGCACTGAGAGGTGATGAGTAGCTTGCAGTGGGTGGGTTTGGTGCCCTCTAACCCTGTCCTGGGCACATGGAAATAAATGTTTCTACAGTTTCAGAGACAGTTATTACAGAGTTTGAAATCAATGCCTTGGCTAGAGGCCCTGAGCTTAGCAAGGACCTCAGGTAGCCCTGAGCCCTCCCTGGCCATAGCTAAAGTAAGGGGAGAAATGGGAGGAGAGTGAAGGAAGGAGAGCAGGTATTGAGGAGCACCTCTGCTCCCTCGGGCCTCGAGTGAAGCTCAGATGTCCACACCTCATCATCCAAACCCCACACCCTGGGCAGACACAGGATGTTCTTCTAAATCTGGCCTTTTCCACTTGGCTGTGCAAGTCCCACTCTGGACACCGAAGGTGAATCTACTCCTGGGATCTGGTGCTGGTGAAAAGACCCCAGGGAAGGAAACTGGACACTAAGAGAATCTGGGCGGACAGCAGCTGGGACAGTGAGCACTGGATAGAAAACACTGTGCATGGTTTTTTGATATGATACTTCTCAGGGACCCTCAAGGACAGAACCAAACACCAGTCCCTATGTGTGTCCAGGGCCCAGGGCCTTCGAGGGTTTCTTTGTCACTACTCTGGTCTCCAGGGCTCTTCCTCTTAAGAGTCGCAATGGACAGTAGTTTTTCAGGCTGTACTTTTCTTACCAATCTGACCCCACACCTGATTCCTCATTCCTCTAAAAACATCCCCTGCTCACTTCGATTTGTTTTTTTGCATCATCCTGGGATTGCAGCCTCTCTATGGATGTCTCTGCAGGATGTTCACATTCCAGAGAGATCAGCCCGTTGACAGGACAGCTGTGACTGGGCTCTACAAGGCTGAGCATCTCTCTTGCTTCTATTGTAGACCAGCCCTAGGCCAAGCCAGAGCCAGACCCTTCTAAATGCTGTGCCCACATTTCCTTAAATATCAGACTTCCACTCTCACATATGGGCCTCTGAGATTCACAGATTGGATTCTCTTTTCTTGTCGTCTCTCCCTCAGTTTCAGAGGTCAGATAATGGCCAGCATACCTGCACCAAGAAGAGGAAACACTGAAAACGCCAGGCAGAGGGCACCTGGGTCTCTGAGTCACACAGGCTGGATTCTTCTTCCATCCACATCCACAATGTGTGGGCAACTCCTTTTTCTTCAGGAAACAAACTGATTCTGTTTGTGCCGGGACATCAATAAGAAAAAGAGTAATTTTCACTGAAGCCATGCTCTGCTTTCAGCAGCACAAGTGACAGCAGAAGCCCTCGCATCAACTGGTGTTGGTCACAGACAGGGATAGGGGAGGGACTGGACAGACAGGAGGAGTTGGGGTGGTCTTTCTCATTTCTCCATGGAGCAGGACCATTTCTCTGGGTCACACGGAGTCTGGATGCAGCTGTGTGACAGTGATAGTCAGCCTCGTCCTCAGGTTGGAGCCCAGAGGTGGTCAAGAAGGCTGTGTCAACAAAGCTACAGCAGGAGAATTAGGCTGGGACGCCTGAAGGTCCTTCACTGCTCTTCTGGGTCTCAAATACGTGTGCTCTCTCAGGGATCCCTCAGTGGCCACTTCCATGGGAATGCCTAATGTTTCTGTTGGTGGTGGTGCTGTTGGTAGGTCATGCTCCTAGGAGACCTGGCGTATTCCCATCTCACTTCCCCAGACTTCAGCAATGTTTGAATTTCCAGGGTCCTGTCTGACGCCCACAGGAGAGATCAGCCTTGTCCTCAGCCTAGAGCCTAGAGATGCTTAGCAAGGCTTTCTTGCCAGACTGGTATTCTGAGCATGCATCTGGGATCCCTGAAGGTACTTGCTGGTTATTGTTGGTACCAGGACACAATTCCAAGAACCTTATTGCTGCTGCTTTCCGTCCAGAATACGGTGACTGGTTTAGCCACAGACAGACTCTGCAGGCTACCAAATGAGCCCTGATTGCCCAGTGCTGTGAGAGTCAAGAGAGAGACAGGGTGAGGATGGTAGCTCAGTGAGGCAGTGAAGCAAAGCAGAGCCCTGGTTGTCTTAGTGCCAGTCCCTGTCTCTCTGTCTCCAGCCACCTATGCAAACTGAGGTGGTCCATGCCATGGCAGACATGCCCCTAGATCTCTGCTTCCTGGGCCACACAGACTACGGGGAACAGCCCCTCTTTCCTGGCCTCTCTTAGAGGAGGTGACTCAGTGCAAATCTATCCTGACCCCTGGCTCTGCCTCTCACACAAGATGCTGAGTCTGCTTGTTCTTGAGGAGAGGTGAGGGGGAGGTAGGAGAGCACAGCCAGTGACTCTCACAGCAGCCTGGGAGGACACAGTGGCTGCAGGGCCGTGTGAACACTAAACGTCAACAGGCAGTCAGGTGTCTAGTGTTGCAGCTGAGTCCAGCCTTGAACTCCCTTCCCAGGCTGCACAGAAATCCATGGGTCTTTCCATTTAGTTCCTTGCTAGATAAGCACATAAGACAGAGCGGTGAGGGTTGGAAATAATTGATTATTGTATTTGTGTGGTTCGCTAAATTCACTGGAGATACAGAGAACCCCAGGGAGGATAAGGAGAAGGTGCTGGCCTAGGTGAAATAAAAAGAATCAGCCAACTTTGTGCTTCTTCAGAACTAAAGATATCAGAGAAGTTCAAGAAAAAGAAAAACAATATGAGGGTCAACTTTCAAGGGCAGATCTAGAAAAATGCAATGAGTTTTCTATTATAAAGCCCTTAACAATTAACTCAGGAAGTTAGAGGGGAGAAGTGGTAGGAAAAATGAGAGACCCAAGAAGGGAATTCAGGAATCAGAGATGTGGCAGGGGAGAGAGTAAGGTTGGGCCACACTATAGGAATGAATGGAAGAGAAGACAGTAAGAGGGTTGGACAGGAGCCAGCGGGGAGGTCAGGTTTGCTGTTTGTTTGCTTTTGATTTTGTTCTGAAAGAAAGGGGAGCCTCTCCCATCTTTGCAGCTGTCCTCCCTGGTCATCTCACTGCACGGAGTGTGGGGTTCTTCCGTCGTTGAAGCTCGTTAGTTTCCTATGTCAGAGATTTTTCCTAAGTTCTCACGTGCCAAGGATTCTCTTTATTTTATACCATTCCTTTGGACTCATTATTGTTATTATTATTAGAGACAAGGTCTCACTCTGCCACCCAGGCTGGAGTGCAGTGGTATGATCATAGCTCACTGCAGCTTTTAACTCCTGGACTGAAGCTCTTGTCCTGCCTCGGCCTCCTTATTACAAACATGCAGAGCAATGCCTGGCTAATTCCTTTATTATCATTATTATTTTTAAAAACCTGCAGAGAAAAGATCTTGCTCTGTTAATCATTGTTAGTCTCAAACTTTTGGCCTCAAGTAATCCTTCTGCCTCAGCCTCTCAAAGTGCTAGGATTACACACGTGAGCCTCTGCTCCTGGCTGGACTTGTTATTATTAAAACACATATGTGGATTTTCTGTGGCAGGAAGATTTTGGAAACGCAGGGACTGCATCATCATTTCATACCTATTCAATCAGAATCTGCTTTTTGTAGGATCCCAGATAATTTGTGGGGATGAGGATAAACAATTGAGTTTGCGATGGAGTGTTCTAACACATGCATGAAGACATTGATATAGTTTTGCGTATACATTGTTCCTCATAACCAAACCTATTATGATCCAGCAAACCTGAGCTGGAAACTCTTGTTTGTCTATGTTGTGCATTCTGAAATCAGGCATAGTGTACTCAAGGCTTTCCACTGAAAATTGCAGGCATTTTCCCTCACTTCATTAAATCCACAGAAATAATCTGGTGTTTCTTAGTAAGAACACAATGTCACGCTTTTGTCTGATAAGAAAACCATTGGAATTATCTATAAAACTATATTTTTTCATTGGTGCTCAAGTCAAAATAAAATTAACAAATATTCAAACATCTTATCATTTTTAAGAAGTGGAATACTACTTATATTAACCATAAATGACATAGGAGCATAAAGATGCATCAAACGAGAGGGAAAAGCACAAAATATGATCACCTTTGTGGAAATATTGAGAACAAAAATGAAAGAATGTATCCACAGGAAGAAATGTACTTATGTTGATTGTTTGGGATAAGGTAGATATGCAATGAATTTGGTGGCTTGTAATATTTTTATTTTATATAATTGGCATGTATTGCTTTGAAAGTAACTCAATTAAGCAAACTTCAGAAATATACCAAAAAAAGAAGAAAAAAAGGAACTTCTTCCCTTTGCTCCTATTTCAAAAAGCCCACACATTAAAGATGCTTCTTCCTGGAGGAAATACATTTAGACTCAGCCTTTAGATCTGATCCAACTGTTAGTGTTCTTTGTAGAATATAAAACAATTAATTTTTGCTTCTTTTGATCCAGTTATTCCCAGATCATTCAAACATTTATTCCACTTCAGGGCTTAAGCAGGGATAGAAATCCATTCAGACCCTTCCCTTCCCCTTTCTATGGCTGGTCCGCGTGTAGGCTGACTTGAGAGCTGGTGTGTGTGATCACGTGATCTTCACATCGCAAGGGCCAAGGGAGGTTTATGTCTTGGTTCCTCTTCTGAGTCTGTCACTGTGCTGAGTACCACTATAGTACACTGAGCAGTAGTACTCAGCCTCGTCCTCAGGCTGTGCACCTGAGAGGGTCAGGGCCGCTTTGCCCCCAAGGAGGGAGCCTGAGAACCGGGCCGGGGTCCAGGAGTGTTTGTTGCTTGTATCATAAATCAGTGTTCTGGGGGCTTGGCCAGGCTTCTGCTGGAACCAGTAGGGATAATTACTACTGGTGACTGCTCCAGTGCTGGAAGCACAGGTGAGAGTGACTGTCCCTCCTGGGGACACAGTCAGTGAGGGCTCCTGAGTCACCACAGCCTGGGAGTTGGACCCTGAAACAAAAAAAACAGACATATTAGGAATTAGAAAGGGAGAAAAAGGGATCCCTCCAAAGTCTGGTATTTGAAATCTCTTAACCTGGGCAGCAAGTGGAGAGAAACAGGAGAAAGAGAGGAGTCCAGGCCATGGCGCTGATAATGGAAGGGACCCTTGGCTCCAGAGCTGGGGCTGGATTCTGATGGCTCTTTATCTCCTACTGAGCTCTGCATGGAGGGGGTGTGTTGTGTGCTGCTTTATGCAAATCTTAGCTACCTTTACCTCCACCTAGGTCTCAGCGCCAAGAGCAGCTACACTGTGAGACGCCAGCCCAGGGTGGCTGTGTGCTGTGGATTTGCCCTGTGGGAGGAAGCAGCCGGCCTAACATTTACATGAGTCAGTTAGCAACTGTGCAGGGTTCATTAACTCTCAACCTCTTGAGCTTCTTAAAATTCAAGAGACCCAGAGGGCCCCCTGGTGACTTTCATGGACTGAGAATGCATAGTTTTCACTTATTTAACAAATCACAATTGATTTATATTTTGACATTGCCATAATATATCCCAGGCCAATTCATACCCATTATTTGTCTACTCTTTGCTCATTCCTATTTGTATTACTTTGTCTTGCTGTTGCTGAAATTCTGCTGCTGTGACTATAATGCGATTTAAGTGTTATATGGTGGTGTTATCTGATTGTTTTGAATGACTAAAAAAATTTTTAATGACCTACTGACTTTTTGAAACTATTTGTTTTGAGCCTCATATTGGATAAACAGCTGGTTTAAGTGATAATTTTTAAAATAATTTATTTTAGATAATTTTTGAACCGAAAATCACCAAAGGTTGAAGTTTTATTTTATTTTATTTTATTTTTTTTTTTTTTTTTTATTTTTTTTTTTTTTTTTTTTTTTTTTTTTTTTTTTTTTTTTTTGAGACGGAGTTTCGCTCTTGTTACGCAGGCTGGAGTGCAATGGCGCGATCTCGGCTCACCGCAACCTCCGCCTCCTGGGTTCAGGCAATTCTCCTGCCTCAGCCTCCTGAGTAGCTGGGATTACAGGCATGTGCCACCATGCCCAGCTAATTTTTTGCAGTTTTAGTAGAGACGGGGTTTCACCATGTTGACCAGGATGATCTCGATCTCTTGACCTCGTGATCCACCCGCCTCGGCCTCCCAAAGTGCTGGGATTACAGGCTTGAGCCACCACGCCCGGCTGAAGTTTTATTTTCAATTCAGTGGAAACTCAATGAGCCATGAGGTTGATCAGCAAGGTCTACATAACCACCCCACTCTTACCCACCCCAGCACTCAAAAATCCTCTAGACACCAAGGCTGAGTGAGCTTTCCTTGCTGGCAATGCTTCATACATAGAGCCACACATTGTTGACGGGAGAATGCCGCATTGCCGATTACTTCGCTGGGAGAGGACAGCTGGATCCTTGTGCCTGGAATTTTCCTGAACTCTGCCCATGTGACTCTTCTCTTGAATTATTTTAATCTGTATTATTGTTCTGTACACAAATTATGGTATTGAATGTCACACTTTTCCGTGAGTTACATTTTTGGTGGAAGTTGTTATTTTCTATTATTTTGGTAAAGCCGTTCTAATGGGTGTGGGTCCTAATTTTGTTTTGGGTTGTTTCCTGTTTGCTTATTTAAATATAAGAGATTTTCTTTCTTTCTTTCTTTTTTTCCTTTTCTTTTCTTTTTTTCTTTCTCTGCTTCAAGCCATAGTAGCCTTTACTTCTGTATAGATGTTGACTAGGATGGAGCTCCCCCTGCCACCCTGGACTTAGACATGGGCAAGGGGTCCAGGGACAACAGAGTCATGGACCAGGATCAGAAGTAACAAGGTTAGAGGACTAGGCTCAGGCTCCTGTGAGTAGCTTGGGGTGACTATTATAGCAAATGACTCCATTTGTCCCAGAGTTGGTGGCTGCGTTGATGAGTCTCTCAAGCCAGTTTCTCCCTCGCTATGATGACCTGCTGCCTATCGCCCCTCTTCCTATAGATTGATCAGGAATGAATCCTTCATAACTCCCAAATTTAGGAGACCAGCTAGACTTTTACAGATGCCCCCAGAGTTTCCATTACTGGGTTTTAGATAAAAGCATGTGTGCAATGGTTTTTTCATGCAAATCAGCCCCCTCTTCTTGTCTTCCAACCCCTTTCCAGAACCTCAGTCTAGACAGTCACTGGAATACATACATTTCCCAGGTGGGGTGGAGAAAGCCAAGTTGGCTGAATCTGGTTCCCTGTGATGACACCGCTGCTGAGTTCAGTGAGCAGTGAACAGATAATGCAGGTCACAGCAGGATGGCTTCCCAGCTGTCCTTATCTGCAGACCCCTCAAGGGCAAGCCTGTAGCACTCAGTGCTGCCCCAGTGTTAGACCAGCTGAGTCCTTCAGTTTCTCCTTGCCTTTGTCTGTTTTCTCCTTCACCAGTGATCCGACTGTGATGGCCCTTGTTAAGCTGCATTCATACTTACTGCTCTGCATGGAATTCCTGTATCATGACATAGCTGCCTGGTCCATGCTGCTATTTTTAGTAAAGTCCTGGGATGTTGGTCTCACTGAAAGAGATTCCCTGATAGACACCAGAGCAGGGAGCCCAGTTTGGTGAAGGGGAAGCCACCAGAAATGCAGTTCTATGCCCAGAGATGCCTCCTTCTTCCCCACTCAAGAATGTGGCCCCTTTTCAGGCTCCCACGTTCTGTCCTGGAAGCTCTGGGCTCTCGGAGTGGGTCTCCCACTGCTCTCAGTCCACCCACCTTCAGCATCAAAAAGACCCTGGAGTTTGCTCTCTCATTTGACAGAGGGAGAGCCACGCTGAGTTCTTCTCTCTCTTACATGTTACTTATTTACCTCTGGCTAAAACCCCAGTGTGTGAGGACCAAGGAGCCCCCTTCCATCTGATTTTAAAAGACATATGAGGTCCCTCACTGTGAACTCTGGCTTCAACAACCCCTGGAGAGGTCCGGAGTCTGCATACTTGAAGAATAATAAAAAGAAGAATTAGGGAAGTGAGAAGGCATTATTCGTTGGGAATCACATACACCTGTATTTAGTGCTAATGGACGTGCTCACTTGAAGATCGCTGTGTTAGAGAAGCTCTGTCTTTGAGGTTCAGCTCATAGACCTAGCATCAGGAAGAGGAAGCCAGGCCCAACTCTGCCTCTTTCAGGCTTTCAACCCTGTGGGGAGTTGGCAGATAAACTATAGTGCACCCAGGTAGGTTTGTAACTTCAAATAAAAAATATTATGTGCGAGATACATATACTGATCGTTTTTTATTGTTTTACTCAATTCAAATTTAACTGACCTCCAGTGTTTTATTTGGTAAATGGCAGAATCCTACCTCCAGGCAACGAGCACTCCCTCCCCAACAGGGCCCACTACGTGAAAAGCAATCACAAAGCTGTTTTCAGGATAAAATGAGGTCACACTCTCAGGAGTGAAATAACTGTTAGTTCCAGGGCGCGATGGCCCACAACTATAATCCCAGCACTTTGGGAGGCTGAGGTGGGTGGATCACAAGGTCAGGAGATCGAGAGTATCCTGGCTAACACAGTGAAACCCCATCTCTACTGAAAAAAAAAAGATTAGCCAGGTGTGGTGGCACGCGACTGTAGTCCCAGCTACTCGGGAGGCTGAGGCAGGAGAATCGTTTGAACTCAGGAGGTGGAGGTTGCAGTGAGCTGAGATCACGCCATTGCACTC